CTCGGGTTTTTAGGCCCGAGGTCAAGCCCGCGAGCTAATATCTATGCGCAAGCCTGTCCGGGGGTCAGGCCAGGCCGAGCCAGCCCGTTAGGCTACCCAGCCCATGAATAGGCCGAGCCAGCCTGTTTTGTCTTTTCTTTGTTTTAAGTGGGGGGGGGGGGCTTTTTGGGTTTATTAGGCTTAATTTCATTGGTCCAAGTGTTTGAACTAGTCAAGAATGGATATGACATCAGTCATTACACTTTTGAGGTTTCAAATTGGGACAGATGAGGTGGCAATTCAATCTGGTGCATCAAAATGGCATTTTCCTATCTTAACAGTCAAATGGGCAAATTAGGTCATGAAATTTGATGTGTTGTGGTTTTTTGGGTCTCTAAACATAATAATGAGGTCTGATTGGTTAAATAGGGTCGGGATTATGGAGATCTATGGCTGCCAAGTTTGGATAAATGAGATTTATTGAAATAAAATCTTTGCTTCATGAAAAGTCAAATGGGGGAATTTTTTGATGAAATTTGGTGAGTAGACATTTTTGAATGTCATGAATCTAATGGAAGTAATGGAATCTCACTTTCCTAATAGTCTAATGGAGGATTTTAGTCATGAAATTTGGCGTGTCATGGTTTTTTGGGTTTCCAAACAAAGTGGTTAGTTTTGATTGGCCAAACAAAATCCAAATGATGGATGATAAGCTTTAATTAATAAGATTTGCTGAAGTTAGGATCTGGCTTGATGGTGGGTCAAACGGGGGAAGTTTGAGCTAAAATTTAGTGGGTAGGTACGCATTAAGGTAAGAAGTCAAGTGGACAGTTCAAATCTAAAAAATAAATGGTTAATCTAAGTTTTCTAATTCTAGTTGCATAGGGTCATCAGAATGGAAACTTAGCACATTTGAGGTTGATCGTTGTAAACTTGTAGTGGGATTCACTTGTTGGTTGTGTCCTAATGATCTTGAGGCGATGGATGTGTGGGATCAGGGCCATCAAAAAGGAAGTTGGCATGACGAATGGTGGATGTTTGACTAATTTATAGTTTCCTAAGTTTGTAGGTCATATTTGATTAGATGTCGATGTTGATCTCGAGATTTTTATTTGTCCTATGGATTTTTGTCTTTGTAAAGTATCAATTTGATATGGTTGTGATTCCACGTTTTTTGGCCTGAAAGGAAGGTATAAAGAAGTAGGGTGAAGTGATCAAGAAAAAATTAGGTGTTGACACTCTGTTAACAAGGTTTGTCAATTCTTTTATGCACCTACGTCTGAGCATTGGTCAACTATTAAGCAAATTCTTTTCTACTTAAAGGGTACCCTTGATCATGGACTATTCTTCTCTTCATCTTTCTCTCCTTGCCTTCGAGTATACTCTGATGCAGATTGGAAAGAGTGCTCTAATGACAACTGTTCTATAGGAAGATTCGTTGTCTTCATGGGCGACAATTGGTTTTTTCTGGAGCTCCAAGAAGCAGCCTACGATTGCCTATGTAGTATGGAGGCTGAGTTTTGAGCTCTTTACAATTCAGTCACTAAAGTGTTGTGTATTCAATCCCTACTTACAGATAATTGGTTTTCCTCTTTCATCTTCTCTACTAGCCTTTTGTGATAACGTTGACACAACATATTTGTTTACCCACCCTGATTTCAAGCGTGAACTAAACATGTGGAGGTGGATTTCCACTTCCTTCGAACCTGATTTTAAATAAGGCCTTAATTGTTCTGTATGTTCCTTTTTGAAGGAAAGAATTTTGTATAGGTTTTCCTATCTTTTCCTTCCTTTCTCTACTTTTTCCTTCAAACCAAACATAGCCTTAGAGGACCAGCTTGTGGATATTTATACCAAGCCTTTGTCAGCCTCTTATCTTCACTCTCTATGCTCTAGTCATCACATCCTTCTGATGCTGTTTCGCTTAAGGGGGCCGCCGTGTTGACACATAGATGTTTCTATGTGTATGTCTCTGGTGACTTAAATCGGATCGACTTATTAGCATCTTATTTGATCCCCGGCTGATCAAACTTATCTGAATCTTCAGTTCAACCCTCCCAAACAGGCCCCAAGTAGTTATAAATCAGCCTAGCTTAAAGAACAAGCTACTATACCTTAAAAATAGATTTGTTTTAAATTAAGCCATGAAAAAGAACCCTTGATATCTCTTCAACCTAGTGATGCTTGATCTTGTTGCCCCTTTCCCATGACACACTACATTTAAAATATCCTCTTAGTGAAAATCTAGTCTTATCATCATTTTTCTTCTTTTCTAAATCCAACAACTTCGGATCAAATAGATAATAAAATATTACAATGAAGTGATGAATATAGTATGTACAAAAGCGTATCACTTAGCATATACTTAGTTCTTCTTCTAATAAAAGAAAACACTAGCATATACTTAGATTATATTCTTCTCTTCTAGTATTTTAATCCAACTTTGCTTGTAATTCTATATTTGTTGGTGATCTTGGGATAGTATCAGCGTCTGCAGGACTTGTTGAAATGGTGGCAATTTTTCTTCTCTCCGGTGTCTTTTTGGGCAAAAGATTAGTCTTTGTTATTAGACTCACTTTAATTGATAATAGTTTAAAAAGCATACTGAAGACAAGGATTTTGGTTTAGAAAAATACTTAGTGCTGATGATAATGGTTGAAGTGGGTGAACTAAATCACTCATATCTTTGTCTTTTAGTAAATAAAATAATTAAATAATAAAATATTTATGGAGTAAAATAATCAATCTAACTTTAAGCTCAGCCATTTAGAGACAAAATAATAAGTTATTCGGTTCAGCCACTTTAGTTGTTACTAATGACCCCTTAGCCAATCCTAGGACCATCTTTTGGCCAGTCCCTATCATCTTAGCCATTGGAAAACAAAAAAAAAAGCTTGGAGAGCATTTGGCGGGTCATGCTTTTGTTAATATTAATCAATATTTTTAGCCCACGGTTGAACTGGCTGGTTGATCCATCACACGGCCACATTTTTGGGACTATCATACTTATTTCTGATTAGATATTACTTTTTTTTGTGTGTGTAAATTTTTATATTTTTATTCTTTTAGTTTATTACATTGCAGGTACATTCATTAGAATGCAGTTCTATTTCTGGGTCAATTTTGAAAACATTGATTGTGATTGTTTAGTTTAATCATCCAATGAACCACCGGTCCAGCTGAATGGATGTATTTTAGAGAGAAGGGGTATGGCCCTATGGGCAAAGTTCAAAATATTGATACACCGGTAGGACGTATTAGTATTGATTTTTTTTATTTTTTTCGAATCTGATCTAGAAGGGCCGTTTAAGACCAGTCTACCCCCCTGAACCACTTTCCAATACGGCCTGATAAGTATCTAATTTTGAACCTTGGGTATGGGTGGTACATGAATGAAGGGTTTGTAGAATAATACAATAAGAAAGGAGTAAGTTATTAATATACTAGATTTGTAGTCACAATGGAACTCTAAATTCCAAACCGTTGGCATCATTTGAATGACATTGACACCCTTAATTTTATTGGCGACATTGACACTCCTTGAGGCAACAGCTTTGATTCACTTCAAATAATGACCAACCCAAGGTACAGGACCACAACTCAAATCTGCTTTCTTACTTCTCACACACTTAACCCTAATTAGGAATCATTTCCTAATTTAAGCAATTGTATGGAAAAGCTTAAATCCTCTTGACCTTTCAATCTCTCACCGATTCCTCAAACATCTGTCATTGGGTAATTCAAAATACCCTCTACAGTTAGATCAGACAAATGCTTACCCCACAACAGACAAACACAATCACCCACTTCCCTCTCTTTTCTCCCTCCTTTCTGATAACAAACCTTTTTAATTAGTTATTCTCTCTCTCTATATATATATCTATTATTCTATACTGTGTTAGGTAATCTTGGTGACACTCTCCACTTTCTAAATAAAAATTTCCAGAGCCTGTTTCCTCACCTGACTTGAAGACAGCAGTGTGGAATGTGATAATGTCTTTGTTTGTGTAAAAAGTCAAGGCCTTTGGAAAGACACTCAAATTAGATCATCCCCAAATTTCTCATTCCAATGAGCAATAAATTAAAGCCAAGAAGCACTAATTATATCCCCAAAAAGGCAGCAAAAGTTGACCCCAATGGCTTCCCTTGGAAATTACCCTTTTATATATAATCAGACTCATTATACAGAGAAACCCTTTTCTCTTTTTCCCTTTTGGGTTGGCCTAAAAAKTTACCACGTGGAAGGTTATGCAGTAGGAAACGTGTAAGAAACCGGTTGGTTAGGAGCTGCAACAGCTGCTTTCTTTCTTTCTTTTTCTGAGGTGGGGGGTGTTTTGGAACAGTAAAGTAGAGACAGTGCTTTAAGTGAGCTGGTCCTGGTTGGACTGCTTGGTTGGCAGGTGATCACATGGACAGCCCCATGTGTCCCCCTTCCCTCCTCGTCTCCTCCCTCGTCCCTTTGTTCCTTCCTTACTTCCTAATTCTTCACCTATATTATTATTAAACTAATCTCCATTTCCTAAATTATTCTTCTTTTAATTTGGGCCGTTGATTCGTTACAAGATTCCTTTGCTTCTGTCTCAATTATACCCCACAACTCTCCTATTTGCCACGTGATCATTATTATAAACCCCTAATGTCGGATACCAAGGATCATTAGACACTAATTGGATCCATCAGTCAAAAGATTAACATGGGTATCCGTGCCATTGGTTCCCCAATGGTGATGTCATGGTCTCCCAATCTAATGGCTGAGATTCTCTCTACTTTTTAAAAAGCCTGGGCCCCCCTAACGTGCGCCGATAAGCACTCTTAACACTGACCTAATTAGGGTCAAAGTCTATAATAAATGCAGGACCAAGACCAACTCACACGTACATAATTTAGTGCCGTTTGAAATCTGATCAGYATTAGATAGGTTTTGTCTTTGTCATGTCTGGAGCCAGTAATACCAGCCCGTACCCGATAAATTATTTTTTATTATATTATGGTATCCGATTCCTGTAGCCCGACACGACACGTTTCGGCCAACGTTCCAGTAGTATTAACTGTCGAAGTACAATAGATGAGAAGAGAAAATCCGAATTTACAGTGTCGCACTGTGCTGGGTAGGAAGATCAAAAATCTTGCCACGTGGCACGTGGAGGTATCCAAAACTCAGAACTCAGAAGTAGTCGAACTTGGAGGAAGACGATTTCTTCAACCGCTCGTGGCAGGACGAGACGCGCCGGAGACTCGGAATGCCCGGTGGTTTATAGGACCGTATAAGGGCGAAGTTCAATCCCTTGAAGAAGGGGTGTGTCTTAACGTCGGCCGCTCCCCTTTTCGACCCCAGCCTCGTCGCCGGATCTTTGACCAGTAGGCCGGAGATCAGATCACGTGCATGGACTTCTGACGCACTAGCCGGAGATTCCGTCGGGAAAAACAACGGCTTTTTCACTATGTTTCGCAGCGTAGCTTCGTTTGTCTCGCCCGAAAAGGGTGTACGGCCGTAGATAAGCTCGTAGATGAAGATCCCAAGGGCCCACCAATCTACGGCGTTTCCGTGCGACTTCCCGGCAGCCACCTCTGGTGCTACGTACTCGTGAGTCCCGACGAAGGAGCATGAACGGGCGGAAACCGGTTCTGCAACGAACCGGCGGTTCATTGACACGGTCCGCACCTTACGCGACCGGAAGAGCCGGTTGTAAAGGCAAGACAACGATGAGGACGAACGTGTACGCGCCCGGCTAGTCGAGGACAGCGATGAAGTAGTTGTGGGGTCGGGCGATGAGTCAGGGGATTCAACGGCTGGGATTGCATTAGAGCAAAGAGAGAGGTCAAAATCTGATAACATGATGTGACCGTCGGATCTAACCAAAACGTTCTCTGGTTTTAAATCTCTGTAGATAATCCCCATCATGTGGAGGTACTCCAAAGCTACAAGAACCTCCGCTGCGTAGAACCTGAAAAATCCCCAAATATCACAGAATCAGAAAATTAATCTTGACACAGACGAGTGCAATCCGATTCAGCCCGATTCAAATCGGTCTAGTTCAAAGAAGCAAAATATGGAAATCAAAATCCTCGAAAATCCGCGATTTCCTGCTGCAATGGCTGATAAAAAAGGAAAAGATATGAAAGTAAGATTTTCGGCGGAGGATTTCAGAAAACCTCTGCAACGAACAAAATAAATATTCCGAAGAATGGATTTACAGAAAATAGGGAAATGGATATTTTCCATTAACGGAGAACTACGGACTGTGAAACAGAGGACGAGAAGTTTTCGATAACAAGCATCCGAGTCATCACCGTAGCAGAAGAGAAAAAAAGAAAAAAAAATGCAAACAGGATTTAAGATTAATCCAATTGCAGAAAGAACAGGCAGAAGTAATTTCTTTTCTAATTTTTTGGTAGAGCCATTTTCTTTGCTTAAAGATTGCAATTTTTTTTTGGTGATAAAGGTTTCTAACTCCAAAAAGTTGCAGCTTTTCTGTAATTTTAAATAGTATCTCTGTACTAAGTTGGGGAGCAGATAATATCCTTTTAATACTCAGACCATAAGAAGCAGGATCTGTAAAATAGTATTTTTCCATTTTTAAAATATTTGTATGGGAAAAAAGGAGAGTTTCCATTAACGTACCTTGCAGAGCTCAACGAGAAACGTTTTCCAGGCTGCTTGTGTCTGAGAGTATGCAAATCACCACCAGAGCAGAACTCCATGACTACGCAAGTGTAATGCGAAGCTTCGAATTCTGCATAAAGGGTTGGCAGGAAAGGATGGTCCAACATCTTCAGAATCCGCTTCTCCGTTTCCGCCCTCTCGACCTTCTTCTTCAATGCCAACGCTTCTTTATCCACCACCTTCATCGCGTAATAGCAGCCGTCTTCGCCGGCGCCGTGTGTTCTTAGACGGGACAGATAAACGCTCCCAATGTCGCCGCTCCCGATTCGGCGAATGAGCTTGAAGTCTCTAAAGCTCAAGCCGTTTTTGCGGTGGAAAGTGGCGGAACGAATGGCTTCCCACGCGTAATCCGACGACCGGTGAGGCTTCAAGGCAAAGCTCTCCTGAGAGTAAGAAGCTTTGGCGGGGATTTCAAGAGCGTCAAATGAGAGACGACTGAAGCTACTGCAGCTATCGCTGCTCATCGAACTTTGGCTAGAATTTAGGGTTTCAGAACCGATTTCACCGTCTGAATCCCTCAATAACTCGTACATTTTAAGGTCCAACACTAACTTCACCTCTACGACGCTCTTTTCAGACTCGAAAGATCTCCTTCTAACACTGCTTTTCGTCTGAAAAAGCTCTCAGAGATATATAAAGTATCTCCTTTTCCCAACCACGCAGAGCAATGCAAGCAACTACTGCTAGTATCGAAGAAATCAAACAAGAGCCGAATCTAATCTTTTCTCCACCAAGAATCAAAGCTCGAAAAAGAGAAAAAAATGGAAAAGAAAGCTTCCAGCAAGCAAAGACGGATGAGCTATCCTCGGAACGTGAGGAAACAGGGGGCTTCACTAGTATTTCTTGTACGTTCTCCGCTCGTTCTCGAATCAGATACGAAGAAGATCGAAGAAATCCGAGGATCGTGACGCGACACTAAGAAAACACCACGACAACAGCCAAAAGGGAGAGGCCTTGATTCTTTGAAAGCTTGGAATCGTTGTCTCCAAGTCCAAATTCCTGTCTCCGACAATCGAAAAACAATCCAGATTCGTTTTTCCGCAACGAACCGTCAAAAACGCGTCCTTTTCGCCATGAGCACACCTCCTGTGTTATATTTCTTCTCCCAACCAATAAACATCGATTAAACCGCCATTAAAGGACCTTCCGCTTCAACCCTTTGTCAAAACACTGTTCACTATACCCAGAAATCGCAGCTTTTCTCTGCTTGCAGAACAAAGTTATTAGGGTTTCCGTAGATCAAGCCCCTCTCTGTCCTACCAGCCTATCTCTCATCGTTTTCAAAATCAGTTTCGACTGTTAAAGAGTGAAGACTCTCTCAGCGAGAGAGAAAGAGAGAGAGAAACATAAAAAACAAAAGCCAAAACCAGCTTTCGTTTTCTCTGCTGCCTTCGTTCGGGTTGGACGGTTGGCAACGATAATGGTTGCTGTGTGTTATATACGCACGGCGTATGATATAAGGCAAAGGGTTCACCCTTGTTAACCATGGTTACTTTGACACGTGAGGAACAGTAGTTCTATCGTGCGCTCGTGTATCTACAGTAGACAGGCTTTTTTCCTGGCTAACACGTGCCTCATTGGTCGTTTGTCGGGCTTTCACGTGTCGCCAATGGTCGTCACGCTTCAGAGGTTCAGAGTGCAATTGGGGGCACTTTAGTAATATCGAGGAAAACTAGGGGTATTCTAGTTTTCTCCATCTATTTCGCTTGTACTTCCATTGCGATTAGCCGATTAATGCTGCCCTGGTGGACCGTATCATGTATCATATCTCCTCATAATATGACGTATCCATGTATGGAAATATCTGGCCATGCAGGGTTAAATGTGTAATTATGTTTTGCCAAATCCATCTTCTTTTTAGCTAAAATTGCCCAATCCATCTATTTCTTACCCGATTTAAAAGAAACCCCTATAATTAGGCCTACGGGTTTTGAATATAGACCTGGCAATTGGGTTGGATGGGTCGGGTTGATTTCAGATCGGATTGGATTTTGAGTTGGGTCGAAAAATGCTAGACCTTAATCTTAATTGTTTGGATTAGAGTTGATCTACGGGTTAATTTGTGTCATTCTTAAAAATAATAGATATTTAAAAAATAAAAAAAATACTATAATTAAAAGAATTAAYCTTAAAATTCTAAAAAAAACATAAAAAACTTGGAAGGTTCAACAATTCAAAGAATAAATGATAAAGTGTAAAGAATAAATAATAAAGATTAAAGAGTGGAAACTTCTAATAATACATAAATAGTCCTAATTAATCTTGACAATCAAGTCGGCTGGTTAACCCATGACTCAACCCAACCCAATTTTTTTTCCAGGTTGGGTCAGGTCGGGTCATTCTCATGTTCAGGTAACTAAATATGAGACCCTAACCCTATTTTTTCAGGTTGAATTGGGTTGGGTTTTTGGGTTGAGTCAACTTTTTGCTAGGTCTAGTTTTGATGAAAAGCCTGACATCCAAAAAATTGAACCGAAAAATTCACTCAAGCGAAACCAACTGCTATATATACTTCTATATTATTTATTTAAATATATATTATAAAAATGGTAAATCTCTTAAAATGAAATTGATTTATTACTCCATTCTTTTAGTTTAAAAATTTCCTTACATATTCTTTTAAGTTTTTTTTGACAATTTATTAAATCCTCTCTCAACGTTAGTATTCCATGACACCATTTTATGTATATGTTTTTTTAAATCTCAATATTATCCTTTTATTGTTGATTTTGCCTTTTATTATTCTTCAAATTTTCAAAATAAAGCTCAATAGATCCAAATTTTTAACACCTCTAACAATTACAATCCTGAAACACCATTCCTAAGGCTTGGTTTGAGCATTTGTTGACACCTTTCCTTTTCCATGTTTTTCTTAGTTTGAGCATTTGTGAGCTCTGTTTGCAAGTTTGAACTGTATTTCTGGTTTCAAATGTCATTTAATGTTTTATCATTAAGCATTGCTAATAGTAAAACTGAATAGTAAAACGGGAAGAGATAATCCTCAGGGGTGTAGGGTTGGTGGTTTGGTGTACAACAAATTTATTCAGATGTTATGGATTTATTCAAATGTTTTATTTTGAAAATTAAAAAAAAAATTATGGATAAAATAGTTTTTTTTTAGTTTTTTTATTAATAAATGCTAACATCAAGGGAGAGTTTAGTTATTTAAGATAATTTCTAAATAGTAGGGATAGAGCAAGTCAATTTCCTAAAAAAAAACTAACAATTAAACTCATCAATTAGTTAGATTTGGTTTTGGTTTGAAATCTTAAGGCTGCATTTGGAAACGATGCAAATAATGTGAATGCAAATATGTAGAGTGTAAAATGGTTCATATAAATTGTAAAATTGGGTTAGCTTTGCACTGACAAATTTACCATCTTACCCAACAGACTTTTAGCTATAATGGATGTAAACATGAATTTCAATAAAGCATATGCTTTTTTTAATCAAAAGCCCACTTGAATGTAAATTTACTTCTTTTTTATTGACGTACTTTTACATCTTATTATCAATATAAATATGCATTGGTCTGTCATTTGTTAATGCATAAATATAATGTTGCCAAACATAAGCAAAAGTAAACCAGAGTACAAATTTACATTAAACTGGGATTTTCACTCCATTTGCATCGTTTTCAAACACAGCCTAAAAAACAGATAAAATTTGTTTGATTTCAAAAATGTGTTTATGCACCTCATTGAATTGAATCCCCAAATAATTTGGGTGGAATTCAGATCTCCTGCACCTTCTTGGACTTCCATTCGGTATTGAGTTTGGATCTATTACTGGACACAGTGTATGTAAAATGCTATGCAACCAATTACAATTGAATACTGTAGTGTTCTGTATATATTGAACATCCAGAGCTCATATGCATATGTGTATACTGTATAGATTGAATGGAATTGTAGGAGAATAGTGCAGGAGATCCAGACTTGGTAGATTTAGAGCTGTCAATGGGTTGGGTCTGGTTCGGGACAGGATGTCCTGTCCCAGTCCAGAACTGATTATTAATTAGTTCTATAAGAAACAAATCCAATAAATTATTAATTGGGGTGATTGGGTCTGACCCAATTAGTCCTTTTTTTAATAGATTAATTATTTCTGATATTAACAACTTACAACAAAAATGACAGTAAAATAATAAATTATTTATATATTGATAAATTAGTTGTTTTTAATCAAAATTATCTTATATATTATCTATAAAATTTACCTTTTGAACATAACATATAACAAAAATTACAAATGAAGAACAAGAAAAGAAAAAACCTACATAATCAATTTGATCGGGTCGGGTTGACTCTATCGGGCAATTGGTTGTAGTTATCTGCCAATACGGTTCAAACTTGAACCACCAGCCATCAATTGAGGCCAAGGACAAATCAATTGCATCCAAACGGAATCAATGCTCGAGTCTGAATTGGTGGTAATAACATTCAGATTCGGCCGTTTGGGTGTCAAAAGGGCAACATGTAGAATCTATAAACTGTGGATATTTTTTGGTAGCAAAAAAACTGTGGATATGTTTTCCACTTTTTAATAATGGATGCAAATCAGTTGATTTTGAGTAGGGCGGAATTTGGTTCCAATTTCACTGTCAGAATCAGACAGCTTAAGCATATGTTAAGAAAGTTGTTTGTCAAGGTCCAAAAGCGATGGTAAATAGAATTGGAAGAGAGTTAATTGTTTCAAAAAATAATAATTAATAAAGATGATCACAAAGTGGGCAGCACGGAAGGGATGGATTAGATTGAAAATGATGCCATTTGGACCGACCAAACAAGACGTGCTTGACAAGTCAGCAGTGATGGAAACAAGAGGGCTGGAAAGATGTCATCAAGTGGGTCTCACCCTGCTTGATGGAGAGGGTGGGACCCAAGGAAGAAACAAGGCTAATAAAGAAGCAGCTTTTGATTGGGTGATTTGATCTCAATTTCTTTTGGAAGGTAGTCATGAAGAAGATGAGAGGAAAGTGATTACAGAGGGACCCAAGAGATTGTGGGGGCAATTGTGTCATGGGAAAGGGCAGCAAAAGTACTTCAAGTGGAGCCTTTGCATTGAGGGAAACTCAAATTTCTCCAAAAGGGAGGCCAAGTCCTCCTCATTTGAGAGACTTGTTTGTTTGCACTAGGACAATAATCATATATCCCCAAGTAAAAAATGATATTTACTGGTTGTATTCATCACTAGCATATTTACCACTTTATGGCACAAAATTGCTTAATTGAAATATGATCTATCAATACTTTTAAAACAAGAAGAGTGTTGCCAATGATGATGCTTTCATCTTAAGGACTATGATGAGGTGGACTCCTCTCAATTGCCACGTGTGTTATGTTTATTTTGGAAAATCATAGATATGATATAGGAAAAACTTAGAACTAATTGTTAGAAAATAAAATCCCATTCAGTGATCTCACCTAACAGCTTAAGCTTTTATGTTGAATGGTTCCTTGAGATTCTTTTAGGTGAGAGTCCCCTGAACAAGTATTTATTCATAAAAGCTCTTCTGATACAATGTCTTTCTAGTATGGTAGATTTACCCCTAAAAAATACATCAACATTGATAATTTTGTGGCCTGAATGGATAGATAGAAATGGTATAAAAACATTGGTTCAAATCGGTCTGCATCAACATGTGTCTGTGTTTTCTTACCAAAAAAACAGAAGAAAACATATGGGTTAGTCTATATTGATACCTATTGGTTTATATAACCATTAATACTAAGTATTTTAAGTATAGAAAATAAGAGAGAGAAAAAAAACCAGAAAGTTGTTGAGGAATTTTGTGAAGTTCCTTGAGAACTTCCCTTCAATTTTCTGTTAAACCAAACACTGCCTATGGTATTGGGATTTTACCTTTGTATCGTGATGCCCAATCTAATCTAGAAACTACCGATACATACACTTTGAAATGGATCTATCCAAGAGATCATGCTTGTAAAAATTAAGAGGGATTAGATACTAAAAGTATGTTTTTGAAATGAGGCTTATTATCTAAAAATCCCCTTCACTTTTTCTTATTTCTCCTAAACTTGCCCTGACTTTTTAAAACCTAAAGACCACCCTATCAAGACATTACCATTAGGGGATGAGTGGTTTTTATAAATTTGTTTTACTACCCCTCCATAGGGGGGTTCATTTCTTCATCCAAATTGGGACCTTTGGGTTGGAGGATGATAAAAGAAAAAATATTTTTCTATTTTTTTTACCTATTTTCTGTTTTTAACAATTGTTTATCAAAGGATCAGGGTTCATTTGATCATTAAAATAATTAATGGCATAACTAGACAGTTTCTGTTAATGGCCACCAACAGTGACATGACTGAATGTAAGCTTTAGATTAAAAAAAAGAAAATTAATTTGGGGATTTCCTGTGGTTTTGGCAAGTCAGTAAGATTATGT